AGTAGTAGTAGTAGTAGTAGTAGTAGTAGTAGTAGTAGTAGTAGTAGTAGTAGTAGTAGTAGTAGTAGCAGCAGCAGCAGCAGCAGCAGCAGCAGCAGCAGCAGTAGCAGCAGCAGCAGCAGCAGCAGCAGCAGCAGCAGCAGCAGCAGTAGTAGTAGTAGTAGTAGTAGTAGTAGTAGTAGTAGTAGTAGTAGTAGTAGTAGTAGTAGTAGTAGTAGTAGTAGTAGTAGTAGTAGTAACGACTGTTGAATCTACTGTGTGGGAATCAAATACCCTGATACATTTTTTTTTTTTTTTTAATATGTGCTGTCGTTGTTTAGGATTCTTCAACAATTTGATAAAAAAAAGTTTAAATCATGTCTGAGGTGATACACGACCTTTCCGTTTTCGGGAGTGTTTGTCTAGTTTACAACGCATAACGCTGGCGAGATGGATGCCCTTGGTTTGCTAGCTTGTTACTGAGTTATCGACGGTTCTCCTGGTTCACCGCGTTGACACATCAGTTTCCGCCAATTGAAACCACGCCCCAGTACAGGTAATGTTGTCTAACTTCAGTTGTGGACTGTCGATCCCGCTAAAACTGTCGAATCGTGACCATCCAAATTTGCAGTCTTCCCCACCTGTCGAGCGTCCTTTTCATCTCGACTCTCTCCCTTCCCCCACACCCCACACTGTCACCTCACATCACTCACGAGCGTATATCTGACTGCATTTCTATTCCGTGCTTCAACTTTTCCAATGCGCTCGTTTCTCCTGTCCGCCATACCCCATTTACCTAGTTAGTATCCACCCCTCCGCGGAATCATCCCGGCCTCGTCGATCCGCCATGTGCCAGGCGTCGCGCTGCTCTTAACGTTGTCGTCTTGTCCTGTAGTGTTCGAAGTTTCTATTCTTTTTTGTTTTTCCGTTTCAAGTTCCTACTTACGTTCTTGTTCCTACGTACGTTTCTTGTTTTTTTCCGTTTCTTGTTGCTACTAAAGTTTCTTGATGTCTGCAGAGAGCGACTATCACGGCGGCATTTCCTCGTTCCTTCTCTGTTTTTTCTCATTCCCATTTTTCCTTCCACTTTTCTCATGTCTCCGTTTTTCCGCGTTCCTGTGTCATAATCCCCCTTCAACCCGATCTTGTGTTCGCAGAGAGCACTGGCGTGGCGCCGTCGGTCACGTGTACCTCGCGCGCGCACTTTCGCTCGCTCCCGTGCACCTCGCCCGCGCGCGCTCGCTACGGTGCACCTCGACGAGTGGCTTCAGCAGCGCAGTCGCTAGTGGCGGCGGACGAGCTGAGGACGCTGCGGTCCGTTCGGGTGGCGCCCGGGGTTCGACTTGCGCTAGCAACCCGAGGTGAGCTGGGGCTAGCGCGAAGGCATGACAATGAGGCGGCGGGGAGGGAGGGGAGGGGGGGGAGAAGGAGGGGGAGGGGAAGGGGGGAGGGAGGGAAGGGAGGGGAAGGGAAGAAAAGGGAGGGTATGTTACACATTCCGCTGTCAACACGTGCATATCCTTGCTATTTGATCAAACCTTACACTACTAATCACGTCATGCGTCGTTCGCAAACCACATGCATTCTAACCCCCCTCCTTGTGCCCTCTCCGTCCCCCCTTCCCCTTTTCTTCCCCCTCTTCCTGCCCCTATCCCAGGTCGTATATGCGGGTCGTTTGTCACGCCCTGCATAAGCCAAACGTTCAGCCTTTTCGAGCTTGGGGCAGCCTGGTTGAATTGAAAATACCCAGTTGAAGGTTTTGATTATTTGGCTCCATGCATAGTATGGAAATTAAGGTTGCAATATTAGGTTTTTTCTCATTGTAACATGCTTTTAGTGCTTTGGGCGTGAATGGTGTGCTGTGTATTTTTACACCAAGATTACCTCTCTGAAAGTGAGCTGGATGTTAAGTGCATTTCATAAAGAAGGACCATTTTGATATGATTGTATAATCACAATTGTAGAGAAACGCTGCTGTGCAACGATCCACAAATCATATGTATTAGTTGTTATTGCGTGCAAATGAATTGCTGGTCATATTATTAGAAAAAAACGTTTCATATGCAAAATACAATGTAACCATTTTCACTGTACTGAAACAGCTCTGTACACTTTCCTGGTGTACCTATCAAAAGTAAGCCTCCGTTCTTTATGATCACAAAAACGGAGCAATCTGTATCTCATCCGAAAAAAAAAACAGTTCGTAGAGTCTATCAAGATTATAGGGTCGCGTGTGTCAGATAATCCACCAATTACAAGTGCACACGCGCATCAATGCTACTCGGGCAAACACTAGGCGGGAAATTTTGACGCGAAATGTCGACATCGTGACTCCCAAGTCGAACCAATCAGCGCCATGCCGAACCTTCCATCCGAGTTACTGCAATTGGTTCCCAACAGTTTGGGAAATCGCAGCCTGCGACCTGGAGTCACTCGCGTCAAAAAGGCACTTCACCAGAATGTTGCGAGTTACTTTTGCTCGAGTAAGTTTTCGGGCCTCAAAAAGGCACTTTTTCAACCCGTCAATTTTCGGATGGAGTATGCCGCTCTAAACAGGCCGCTCTTTCCTCGAAGGCTCGCGCGGAGAAGCAGCGGGGAGATCGGGATCGACATTGCGAGGGGTTATGTCGCATGGTACTGTAAGGTGCCTGAAAACACGGCTTGACTTGTTCCGGTTCCGTGGTAGCTTCGAAATGTTCCTCGCAAATCCCCTACACGGCTTAGCACGCTCTTCTTAGACGTTCAAAAAGAAAAAGGATATAGCTATTTGCGAAAATTCGTGAGACTAATTGAGCCGGACGTACGGGGAAGCAGGTGCTTTCGAGGCGCCTCAAGATTCGCCTATATCCACACAGACGTACGGGGAACCGGAGCGCTGCTCGTGTCGCTGAGTCCGTTTGCGTTACTATCTGAGACGTCAGTCACAAAAAGGTGACATGATATCTCATTTGAGGCGTCATAGTAAAAGTCGTCTCACGAAAGGCAGTCATACCTCTTTCGAGACGTCTCAAGAACCGGAGACGTCCTGACGATGAACTCGCTGCTGAAGCGCCGAGGCCGGAAAGGCGGCTTGCAGGCTTGAAATGGCCGTGCCTGCCGACTCAGTTGTCTACCGCCTGTCCAGAATCAGAATCGTGTTCCAAAAACAGCACGCTCCGCACGCTCGTCACGTCACTTCAACTCACGTCAGGTCACGTCCAGCTCGTAGTTGTTGGATCATGTCAGCGTACGTGGGTGACGAAGGAGTTACCGTGGCCGGCATTGCTGGCGATGTAATGAAAGTCGCACGCTTCACACTAAACGTCACGTCATGTCCATCCACAGACCAGATTACGAACGTCGGAAATGCCGGCGTAGAATGGTCAGACGATATTAGGGTAGGTCCTGAAAGTACGTCTGAGTGCGATTCTATGAGGCTTGGTACAATCTAGAGCGGTCTATTTATGATGTACAATGGTTACGTCTGTCCGGGAGTTCAACGGCTCCTAGTGATTGCGACAGTCCTCCGAAATTACACAACGGACGTCCGTCATCGTGGCGGTTCAGCAGCAGACATCCGTCATCGACAAGTACGTAATAGACCGCTCTAAATCGTATCAAGCCCCATTGTGCCGCATTCGGACATACCACACCCCTGAAGTATATTGGTAAAACGGATATTGTGCATCGTGATGTGACGTTCCGAGGAATGTACGACAAAAGCGCGACACTGTATATCGGAGAGTCACAACTGGTTTGGGATACAGACTAGCTTCACCCGAGGCGGTTGACGAAAAAACAGGCTGAAATCTATGTGAGGGGAGTTTTCGGTGGCTGGCGAAAAGGTTCGACTGACCATGCACGAGGAACTTGCGAACTTCAGAGCCGGGTACTATAGTGGTTACCATTAGGCTGGGTTTGCCAAGCGCGAACGTGGCGACCGAGTCGTGAAGGAATTGCCGAATCGAGCACATCCCTCGTATGATTGGGCGTTGCAATTGACTTCAGCTCACCGTCGTCGCCCCCCACAGGTTCGGCACCTCCTCGCCGAGCAGCACCCCCTACCTCTCGCGCCGCATTCGTTAAACCCAATGACATGCCACTCTCTACAAACGAATCGCCCTTATCACTTTCAAGGCCAGCGAGAGTGCCATGCCATCCAAGAAAATATGGTTTGGTGCTGTGCTGCGGTGTATGGTGCTGTGCTGCGCTGCGTGGTGCTGTGCTACGCTGTGTGGTCCTGTGCTGCGCAGTCTTGTGCTGTGCTGCGCTGTGTGGTGCTGTCCTTCACTGTGTGGTGCTGTTCTGGCCCCTTATAGGTTTGGAAAGCAGTTGGGTTTGGAAATCGGAAATTTGGTGACAAGCTTGCAGGTTCGGCTAAAACGCGAAGCGTTTTCGTTTCGCAGCCCTCGTCGTTACGCCTTCCTGCGATTTCCGCACCTCGTCAGCCAATCACAACCTAATCGGAGCCCCCAAATGACGTGCTTGAACCGCGTGTGAGACCCCGCCTGAAGCGGATGGATGGATGAACTGCCTAACACGAAATGCCCAAAACGAGATGCATGGCGCTGTTTTACTGTCAAGATCAGCTGTTTCTTGTTAGCTCCACGACGACAGCAGTTTGTGGTTTTCTTGCTTCAAGTGCCGTCCCCCCCAGTGTCTTTTGTCAAGCCATTGACATGACAGCCATTAATTTTCTCAACTCTGCTCAGTTGCTCTGTGCTAAGTCCGTTTTCTTCAAAGACAATACATTTTGCGTCCAGCTAAAGTCCTCCAAGCGTGTTACGACGTGCTAAGGCTTCATAGTAATCCTCGTCGCAATGATAGGCTGTGCTCCTTCTAGCGTGCCGAAAGGCAGCGATACGCACCCTTCGCCGCATCACCCAGTGATTATCTCCTTAACTTCCCTGTCGCAGCTCAAGCCTCGAGATAAGCTGTTCTTAGCGGCGCGCTGTTTCGTCGTGGCGATTGGTCTGCTCCTCGTAGCTTACCACTTTTTTAAGTCCTCTGCCACGCGGCACTCGCCTATTGAGTGGTTCGATATGAACGCAATCAATGCTAAATTAGCGGCGGATTCCCGCCCTTCCGATGCTAACCTTTCGGCGAGCGTTTACCAGCAAGGATTTGCGGTGGCATCCTTACCTGCTGAGTCCCCACCGGCGGCATCCTTACCTGCTGAGTCCCCACCGGCCGTATCCTTACCGACGGAATCCCCACCGGCCGTATCCTTACCTGCTGAATCCCCACCCGCTGTATCCTTACCGGCTAAATCCCCACCGCCTGTATTACCGGCTAAATCCCCACCGCCTGTATCCTTACCGGCTGAATCCCCACCGGCTGTATCCTTACCGGCTCAATCCCCACCGGCTAAGCCCCCACTTGATAGGGATGGTCCTCTCGTGGCTTTCGATCGCGCTTTCGCCTCTTTGATCTCGTTTCAGCGAAAAGGTCGCGTTCCGTTCGCCAATGTCGCAACGTTCAATTTCGACCCCTCCGTTACAAGCGCCGCCTTCGTCGCCACGCGCTACAAGCTTCTATCGCTGCCCGTTCCGCGTGTGCCCGAGAAGCTGACGTGGCGCGACGCGTACCCCGTATGGGTGAACGAATCGCGGTCATCCTGCCCAACAATTTCTGAACCGAGCTATCCAGATTGGCTGACCAGCATCCACGCCATCGTCGCACATGTGCCCTGCGACGAGCCTAGCGAATCCTGGGCGAAGGATGTTCGCTGGCTACACCACCTTCTCACTATAACAAGCTTCGTCATAAGGGTACTGTTCTCTATTGTCCCTCATCGATAGTGTAGCAGGATCGTCGCCCGTTACCAGTGGTGCTACTATCCACGTGCTATCCATTCTCCCCAACCCCCCTGTACCAGACGAATCGCCTGTGGTTACCAGAGACGCTACTTTCCACGTGTCATCCATTCTCCATATCCGAGAGGGGGTCTTATCCCACCTGTACCGTGGAGAATCGCCCGCGGTTACCAGTGACGCTACTGTCCTTGTGTCATCCATTCCCCCTTATTTCAGCCAACCCTTCTCTCGGTTCCCCTGTTCCAGGTTCGCCATCTGCGGTTACCAGTGGCGTTACTCTCCGCCTTATTTCGCCCAATCCCCTTGTACTATCTCTCATGTAACAGGCGAATCGCACGTGGTTACTAGTGGTGTTACTCTCCTCGTGCCGCCCGCCGCCCAACCTCTTCCACTGCTCCCGACTCGTGACGCGGGAGGGTGACACGTGGCTGTACAACATGACGGCTAATGACATGCTGACACGTGTACAGCCCTTGGGGTCATGCGCCATGGCTCAGCCTATCAGCAGCGAGGTCTCAGGTAGTGCGACACGAGAGGCTACAGGAAGTGACGTCATTCTGAATAATAAAACAAAATATCAGAAGCATATACACACACAAAAAAATTATTCATCTGCCTATTCACCCTTCCTCCAACTCCCCTCCCCACGTGCATCCCTGTCTCCCCTCCCCTCAGCCAACCAGCGCGTCGCGTATGCTACAGTGCTACACTCATCGGATCACTACGTGTGCGGCGCGATAGTACTGGGGCACAGCATAAGGAGGACGGGGAGCAGTCACGAGATGGTTGCGCTTGTATCGAAGGAGATCAAAGAAGAGAGCAGGCGAGGGCTGAGGGAGGCGGGGTGGACGGTGAAGGAAATTGAGCGGATTCGCAACCCAAACGCAGTGAAGGGGACTTATAACGAGTGGAATTACAGGTTTGTGTGCTTCTAACGAGTTGACCTTGGCATATGAGTGCTTATAGCGAGTGCAGGTAGACGTATGTGTGCTTGTTTATTGGCAAACATATGCACGTTCGCATTCTGACGTATGTGTGCTCTTCTGTTGGGGATTTTCTTGCCTCTTTCATCCACCTGTTGGCTTTTGTCGATTATTTTATATTAAACCTGTTTATCTATTCACTCTTTCTTGCATTTTCCTTCTGTTAATTGATTATTACTTCTGTCGCTGTCTTTTTTTGGTTCTTCTGGCTCATTTTGAAATGTGCGGATTTGTTTTGACTTGTTGACTCTTCTTTACCCCCTCCTCCCCCAGCAAGTTGCGGCTGTGGCAGCAGCCGGAGTACACCAAGCTACTCTTTCTTGACTCTCGTTGACTTCATTGACCTCTCTCCTCAATCTCCCCCCCCCCCCTCCCTCCCCCTTCACAGCAAGTTGCGGCTGTGGCAGCAGACGGAGTACACCAAGCTGCTCTTCATTGACTCAGACCTGCTCCTCTTGACCAGCGTTGACTTTCTCTTCTCCTACCCCGAGATCTCCGCCCGCGGAAACGACGGCTCAGATTTCAACTCGGGCGTGATGGTCCTGGAGCCGTCGGATTGCACGTTCGAGCTGCTGATGGCAAATCTGGAGCGAGTGCGATCGGCGAATGGAGGGGACCAGGTGAGACCATGATGCTATGTCATGTCATGTCATGTCATGTCATGTGATGCGATGCGCTGGGACTCCCGATCGATCGCCCCCTTGCAGGGAAAGTCCAAACTCTTGCAGTCGATTGTTCCAATAATATATCTTCCACCAATTTCCCTCATGCTCCCCCCTCCCCAGGGCTTCTTGAACAACGTCTTCACCTGGTGGCACCGCTTACCAGAGTCCATAAACACCCTCAAACCCGTCTGGACCTCTGACCCTGTGAAGAAACAAGCGATCATCGACATGAAAAGCAGGTGGTTTTCACAAGACCCTTCGGAAATCCACGCTATACACTACCTCGGTATGAAGCCATGGTGGTGTTACCGTGAATTCGATTGCAACGTGTTGATACCCGATTTTCTCGACTTCGCTAATGAGGCGGCTCATAAGAGGTGGTGGAGTGTACACGATTCAATGCCAGAGCCACTAAAGCAGTTCTGCTGGATAACAAGTGAAGCAGAGGAGAAGCTGCAGAAGTTGATAGAGCAATCCAAGCCAAAACCAGCGCCATAATTACTACTACCGGTACCAGAATTCAGTAGGGTTAGAGTCTGACTAGGCATTGTATGTATCATGTACACTTGTGTTAGGCATGTAGTCAGCAGAGGGCCTACTTTCCTGTCAGGAAGGCACCCCTCCGCCTTTCCAGGATAGCCTAAACAAGTTATTGCTCTGTATTTTGATATAATAGGTGTATCAATGACAAAATATTGTAGCCGGTTATGATATATGAAGTGTACAAGAAGTGATATGTTGCTCAACAGTAGGTACTACTACTGGCACAGCGGAACACTGGGCTGGGTGTTGTTTTTTTAATGACGACAACAACAGTGCGCGCACAGAAATCTGCTGCCAAGTATGGTGCACGCCTTGCATTGGTGCTAGATCAGCTCACCCCCTTGATCAGGGAACGACACCATCAGACTGACCCTATCCCCACCACTGCTCGACATCCCATGCTGCCCTGCTGCCCACCCTCCACACATCCCCCCGTGCTGCCGAGTATGGTGCAAGCCTTGAATTGGTGCTAGATCAGCTCACCCCCCTTTTCATCAGGAAACGACAACATCAGACTGAGTGTGTGGGGCCACTGCCCGACAACCCCATGCGGCCCTGCTGCCCACCCTCCACACAACCCCCCCCTGCTGCTTGTGCTACCATCTGTCTACCCCCCTTTCCCTCTCCCTCCCACCCAATCCCCCACCCTCTTCTCCCCTTTCATCGGGAATTCACCTCACACCACGCAACACTCCCACTGAACATCACTGTCGGACTCAACCCATTACCACCACTCATGCAGGGTGTCCCGTCCACCCCTCCCAACTGACCTCTGCCGTCTGTCATTCGGGATTCACGTCTCGTTTATGAACACTCCCAATGAACGTAACCGTCGGACTCAACCCATCGCCACCACTCAAAGGAAGGTGTCCCATCTACCCATCCACCCATCCACCCATCCACCCATCCACCCATCCACCCAGCCTAACTGAACCCTATCCTTTCACCGGGGATTCACATCTCTTGTATGCACACTCCCACTGAACGTCACATTCGGACTCAACCCATCCCCACCACTCATAGGAAGGTGTCCCATCCACCCATCCACCCATCCACCCATCCTAACTGAACCCTACCCTTTCACCGGGGATTCACGTCTCTTTTATGAACACCCCCACTGAACGTCACATTCGGACTCAACCCATCCCCACCGCTGCTCGAGGTCCCACCCTTCCCTCCTTGCAGCTTCATCCGCTCCTCATACCACGAAACCTCCTCCTCCTCGTCCTCCTCACCCCAATCCTCCCTTGCAGCCCCTCCTGTCGCCGCTGCAGCTATTTCATTCCAGAACTTGTCACTGGTTTGTGACTTGGTCGCACACGCAGGCTCCCCTTCCCAAGCATACCCTTCGGCGTTGTCACGCCTGCTACTATCACAACCACCAGCACCACCAGCAGCACCAGCAGCAGCGGCACCAGCAGCACCACCAGTGCCAGCAGCACGAGACGCAGAAACCCGGTTCAAGCGCCTCTTAATCCCTTCCAACTCCTTCAAAACCTGTTGCATGTCGGGTCGGTTCTGAACCTGCTTCAAGCTGCACCGCATTGCCAGCCGCACAAACCACTCAAACGTTTCCTCCAAGGCCTCGCTCCCACACGTTTCCTCCATTGCCTTCCCCTCACTCATCCCCACCTCTCCATCTCCCCCACCACCTCTCCCTTCCCCTCCGCCCTCTGTTCCCCCTTCTCCTCCCCCTGTTCCTCCCCCTGCTCCCCCACCTGCTCCTCCTCCCACTCCTCCCCCCTCCCCGCTCCCCTTCTCCCACATGGCTTTCAAAACCGGGTCCATAACACTGTTCACGCCGCCCTCGTTGGTAACCCTATCGATCACGATCCGTCTTATGTGCTCCCCGTCGGTCACCGGGCGGAGACCAGTGGCTAGCTCTAGCAGCACGATTCCAAAGCTGTACACATCGCTCTTTTCCGTGAGAAGATCGCACTGGAAATATTGTGGGTCCAAATAGCCCTGAGGGAGAGGAGGGTAAAAGGGGACAAGAAAGGGGGGGGGGGAGAGGAGCATGAGAGGTGGTGAAGACCGGTGGCGAGCTCTAGCAGCACGATTCCAAAGCTGTACACGTCGCTCTTCTCTGTGAGTAAATCACACTCGAAGTACTGAGGGTCCAAGTAACCCTGGGGTGGGAAAGGAGAGGGAGGGGAGGGAAGAGGGGGAGGAGAGAGGATAAAGAGGGAAGCCATTTCAATACAGGATTGTTCAATGGGTAGATGGTAACCCTATCGATCACGATCCTTCTGATATGCTCCCCGTTGGTCACTGGGCGGAGGCCAGTGGCGAGCTCTAGCAGCACGATTTCGAAGATGTAGACGTCGCTCTTCTCTGTGAGTAAATCGCATTGGAAATATTGTGGGTCCAAATAGCCCTGAGGGAGAGTCAAAGGGGACAAGACGAGGGGGGAGAGGAGCATGAGTGGTGAAGACCAGTGACCAGTGGCCACGATTCCGAAGCTGTACACGTCGCTCTTCTCTGTGAGTAAATCGCACCGGAAATACTGAGGATCCAAATAGCCCTGATGGAGGGAAAGGGACAAGAAGAACAAAGAAAAAATGGTAACCCTAGCGGTCGACTTAAAAATCAACTCAGCACTTTCCCCAAGCTCTCTCCATAGGGCCCCCCATCCTTCCACTCACCACAGTCCCCTTGACTTGCGTCTCCAGCCTCCCCCCTCCCTCCGCCTCCTCAGGAACAGCCTTGGAGATTCCGAAGTCAGCCACCTTGGCCTCGAGGTCTGCTGTGATGAGGATGTTGGCCGTCTGTGTGGACGGGGAAGGGCAAGGAGCAAGGGGGGGCAAGGGCAGGGGGCAGGAGACAGGAGGAAAGGGGAATGGGGCAAGGGGCAGGGGGCATGTAAGCGCTCAGCCTTGGAGATTCCAGAGTCAGCCACCTTCGCCTCGAGGTCTGCTGTGATGAGGATGTTGGCCGTCTGGTGGGGGGAGAGAGGGGGGGGATGGGAGAGCAAAGGGAAAGGGGACAGCAGCGGGCAGGGGGCAGGGGGCAGGGGGCAGGGGGCAGGGGGCAGGGGGCAGGGGGCAGGAGGAATGGGGAAGGGGGGATGGGACAGGGCATGTATGTGTTCAGCCTTGAAAAATCCAAAGTCAGCTACCTTGGCCTCGAGGTCTGCTGTGCTGAGGATGTTGGCCGTCTGGTGGAAGTAAAAAGTGGTGGAAGTAAAAAGGGGGAGAGGGGGAAGGGGACAGGGGGCAGGGGGCAGGCACAGAAGGCAGGGGACAGACAGGGGGATGGGGCAGGAGATATATTCTTTCGTCCTTGGACGTACTGAAGGCAGCTACTTACGCTTCAAGGTCCGCTGTGATGAGGATGTTGGCCGTCTCGTTGGGGGGGGGAAGGGGAGAGAGGGAGGGGAGCAATGTCAGCGGGCACGGGGTATATGCTTTCAGCCTTGAAGATTCCAAAGTCAGACACCTTAGCCTCAAGGTCTGCTGTGATGAGGATGTTGGCCGTCTCGTGGGTAGGGGGAGAGGGAGAGGGGGCGCGCAATGGGAGGCGGGGTGCGCAAGCGGAGGGGGGCAAGGGGGAAAGGGCCAGGGGGGCAGGGGGTGGATGATGGGTGATGGGAGGCTTGATATGATGGTGCACGTACTGTTGGTCATGCTACAGGCGCTGCAAGCTTGAATTGCACTCACACAAGCATACGTGCATGTGTGTGTATGTATGTATGCATGTATGTATGTATGTATGTGTGCGTGCGTGTGTGTGTGTGTGTGTGTGTGTGTGTGTGTGTGTGTGTGTGTGTGTGTGTCTGTACGTACGTACGTATGTATGTATGTATGTATGTATGTATGTATGTATGTATGTATGTATGTATGTATGTATGTATATATGTATGTATGTATGTATGTATGTATGTATGTATGTATGTATGTATGTATGTATGTATGTATGTATGTATGTATGTATGTATGTATGTATGTATGTATGTATGTATGTATGTATGTATGGATACATGCATGTTCCTCATATCACACGTACCTTCACATCCCGGTGGATAATTGGCTGCTTCATCTGATGGAGCAGGTACGCAAACCCACTGGCTGCTTCATCTGATGGAGCAGGTACGCAAACCCACTGGCTGCTCTAACAGGTGATGCAAGCTGGTACGCTCCCACATGCACACGTATACATGCATGTATGTATGCATGCAGGCACAGCACACACCTTCACATCCCGGTGGATGATGGGCGGCTTGATCTGATGGTGCAGGTATGCAAACCCATTGGCTGCACCACAGGCGATGTTGACCCGCTGCCGCCACGTCAACTGGTGCTTTGAGTCGGCTGGTGGGTGCAAACAATCGTGGGAGGGGAGGGAGGGAAGCAGACGGAAGGGAAGAATGGGGGGTCTTGAGGTGCCTAAGAAGTGGGTGCTTCGAGCTGGATGGTGGACGCAAAAGGGGGGGGAGGGGGTTATGGGATGGGGGGACTGTGGATCGCCTAAGCATCATATGCTTTGAGTTGGCTGGTGGGGGCACAAAAGGGGGGCCAAGAGAAGAGGGGGTGGGGAGAGGAAGGGCGGAGAGATGCTCCCCGCAACTTCACGGCATGCCAACCACAGCAAGTCCACTCACCTTTCGGCATGTCCTCAAGTGTCCCCCCCTCTGAATGAATTCATACACCAGAAGCTGCTCGCTTGAGGACACAAGGCGGATGAGAAGCTGCTCATCCGCCTCCACACAAGCCCTTCAGTGCCACCCAAAGGTCACCAGGGGGCATCAACGCTACACCAGACTTCACTTACATGCCGCCCTGCTACATCCACTCCCCCTCAATACACACCTCTCAGCATGTCCTCAAGCGTGCCCCTCTCAAAGAACTCATACACCACCAGCTGCTCGCCCGCCTCCACACACAAGCGGGTGAGCGCACTCACCATCAGGTGGCATCATTACACTTCCCCCCTTACTCCCCCACTCCCCCTTCCCCCTCAATACCTCACCTCTCAGCATGTCTTCCAGAATCCCCCTCTCAATGAATTCATACACCACCAGCTGCTCGCCCGCCTCCACACACAAGCGGGTGAGCGCACTCACCATCAGGTGGCATCATTACACTCCCCCCCTTACTCCCCCACTCCCCCTTCCCCCTCAATGCCTCACCTCTCAGCATGTCTTCCAGAATCCCCCTCTCAATGAATTCATACACCACCAGCTGCTCGCCCGCCTCCACACACAAGCGGGTGAGCGCACTCACCATCAGGTGGCATCATTACATTCCCCCCCTTACTCCCCCACTCCCCCTTCCCCCTCAATACCTCACCTCTCAGCATGTCTTCCAGAATCCCCCTCTCAATGAATTCATACACCACCAGCTGCTCCACACACAAGCGAGTGAGCGCACTCACCATGACGAGGCTGCATCCCCCCCAGCCCTACTCCCCCACTCCCCCTTCCCCCTCCCCACTCACCTCTCAGCATGTCTTCCAACGTGCCCCTCTCGATGAATTCATACACCAGCAGTTGCTCGCCCGCCTCCACACAGAACCCTTTCAGAGCCACCAGGTTGCGATGGCGCACTGCTGAGAGCAGCTGTATTTCATTTCGAAACTCGGTCCCACCGAGCTGGTGGGTAAGAGTGGAGGAGTGGGAGTGGGGGAGAGATGGTGAGTGGGAGAGACAGAGAGGCCCTTGAGAGCCACGGGGTTGCGATGGCGCACGGCTGACAGCAGCTGTATTTCATTGCGGAACTCCGTGCCGCATAGCTGGGGGAGGGAATGTGAGAGGGGGCAAGGGGGGCATGGGAGGGACGGAGAGTCGGAGAGGCAGAGAGGCCCTTGAAAGCCACGGGGCTGCGGTGGCGCACGGCTGACAGCAGCTGAATCTCGTTGCGGAACTCCGTGCCGCATAGCTGGTGTGTGGGTGGGTAGGTGGGTGGGTGGGTGGGTGGGTGGGTGGGTGGGTGGGTGGGTGGGTGGGTGGGTGGGTGGGTGGGTGGGTGGGTGGGTGGGTGGGTGGGTGGGTGGGGCATCTGTAGGGAGGGGAGTGGGGGAGTGGGAGAGTGGGAGTTTAGAGGAGATGGTGACTTGGCGAGACACAGAAGCCCTTGGGAGTTGCCATGTCCCCATGTCACCATGTCACCATGTTGCCATGTTGCCATGTCGCCATGTTGCCATGTTGCCATGTTGCCATGTTGCCATGTCGCCATGTTGCCATGTTGCCATGTTGCCATGTCACCATGTCGCCATGTCGCCATGTCGCCATGTCGCCATGTTGCCATGTTGCCATGTTGCCATGTTGCCATGGTGCCATGTTGCCATGTTGCCATGTCGCCATGTCGCCATGTTGCCATGTTGCCATGTTGCCATGTTGCCATGTTGCCATGTCGCCATGTTGCCATGTTGCCATGTTGCCATGTTGCCATGTTGCCATGTCGCGATGTTGCCATGTTGCCATGGTGCCATGTCCCCATGTTGCCATGTCGCCATGTTGCCATGTTGCCATGTCGCCATGTTGCCATGTTGCCATGTTGCCATGTTGCCATGTCACCATGTCACCATGTCACCATGTCACCATGTCACCATGTCACCATGTTGCCATGTCACCATGTCACCATGTTGCCATGTCGCCATGTCACCATGTCACCATGTCACCATGTCACCATGTCACCATGTCACCATGTCACCATGTCACCATGTCACCATGTTGCCATGTCACCATGTTGCCATGTCGCCATGTCGCCATGTCACCATGTCACCATGTCACCATGTCGCCATGTCGCCATGTTGCGATGGCCCATGGCAAGGGACGTGAGTGTGGATGGGGGATGGGGGCAAGGGGGACAAGTGAGTCTTGCTAGGAAGCCTCAGAACACTTTTGATTTTGAGACGTCTCAAAAGTCGCAAGGGGGACAAGTGAGTCTTGCTAGGAAGCCTCAGAACAACTTTTGATTTTGAGACGTCTCAAAAGTCGCAAGGGGGACAAGCGAGTCTTGCTAGGAAGCCTCAGAACAACTTTTGATTTTGAGACGTCTCAAAAGTCGCAAGGGGGACAAGTGAGTCTTGCTAGGAAGCCTCAGAACAACTTTTGATTTTGAGACGTCTCAAAAGTCGCAAGGGGGACAAGCGAACCTTGCTAGGAAGCCTCAGAACAACTTTTGATTTTGAGACGTCTCAAAAGTCGCAAGGGGGACAAGCGAACCTTGCTAGGAAGCCTCAGAACAACTTTTGATTTTGAGACGTCTCAAAAGTCGCAAGGGGGACAAGTGAGTCTTGCTAGGAAGCCTCAGAACAACTTTTGATTTTGAGACGTCTCAAAAGTCGCAAGGGGGACAAGTGAGTCTTGCTAGGAAGCCTCAGAACAACTTTTGATTTTGAGACGTCTCAAAAGTCGCAAGGGGGACAAGCGAACCTTGCTAGGAAGCCTCAGAACAACTTTTGATTTTGAGACGTCTCAAAAGTCGCAAGGGGGACAAGCGAACCTTGCTAGGAAGCCTCAGAACAACTTTTGATTTTGAGACGTCTCAAAAGTCGCAAGGGGGACAAGTGAGTCTTGCTAGGAAGCCTCAGAACAACTTTTGATTTTGAGACGTCTCAAAAGTCGCAAGGGGGACAAGCGAACCTTGCTAGGAAGCCTCAGAACAACTTTTGATTTTGAGACGTCTCAAAAGTCGCAAGGGGGACAAGTGAGTCTTGCTAGGAAGCCTCAGAACAACTTTTGATTTTGAGACGTCTCAAAAGTCGCAAGGGGGACAAGTGAGTCTTGCTAGGAAGCCTCAGAACAACTTTTGATTTTGAGACGTCTCAAAAGTCGCAAGGGGGACAAGTGAGTCTTGCTAGGAAGCCTCAGAACAACTTTTGATTTTGAGACGTCTCAAAAGTCGCAAGGGGGACAAGTGAGTCTTGCTAGGAAGCCTCAGAACAACTTTTGATTTTGAGACGTCTCAAAAGTCGCAAGGGGGACAAGTGAGTCTTGCTAGGAAGCCTCAGAACAACTTTTGATTTTGAGACGTCTCAAAAGTCGCAAGGGGGACAAGTGAGTCTTGCTAGGAAGCCTCAGAACAACTTTTGATTTTGAGACGTCTCAAAAGTCGCAAGGGGGACAAGCGAACCTTGCTAGGAAGCCTCAGAATCTCATCGTGGACCTCTGTCCCTCACAGTGGACCTCTGTCCCTCACAGTGGACCTCTGTCCCTCACAGTGGACCTCTGTCCCTCACAGTGGACCTCTGTCCCTCACAGTGGACCTCTGTCCCTCACAGTGGTGGGGCTGGGGAATGGGGGAGACAACAACTGATGCAAACTTGTGTCCACACCTGAAGATCCACCTGAATATTCACCTGAAGGACCACCTGAAGGGACCACCTGAAGTTCCACCTGGGAGTGTTCCTGGCGTACCTTCACATGCCCCTTGGCTCGCTTCACTGCCACTACATCCCCTGATTCCAGCACTCCTCGGTACACCTGAGAGTGGTTCAGACACGGGGAGAAAAGGGAGACGAGATGAAGGCTGGGCATTGCTGTGCTACTCCTCCCTCTTTTGAGAATTCTCAAAAGTCGCACCAATATGGCATTGCTGTGCTACTCCCCCCTCGGGGCAAGGGAAATTCATTACCATTACATTTTAGGAATCTCCCCCTGAGGCAAGGAATAGGCATGCAAAATGCGCTACCATAATCTTTGAGACGTTTTCAGGAGAAGCGTTACCATATCCGTCCCCTCACAGATATACCTGCCCCATATGCGCCGTCCCCTCACAGATATACCTGCCCCATATGCGCCGTCCCCTCACAGATATACCTGCCCTGCATGCGCCACCCCCTCACTGATACACCTAACCATATGCGCCCTCTCCCTGATATGTACTTGCTGCTCAAATACACCTGCCCCACATCGCACCTGTCCATATCCGCCCTACCCTTCTTCGACCTTCCATCTGTCTGCTTCTTCCCATATGCGCCCTCCCCCTTCCCCCCACAGATATACCTGCCCCACATCGCACCTGCCCGTATCCGCCCTCCCCCAGCAGCGTCTTGAAGCCCTGGGTGGCATCGGCTATCTCTTTCAGCTTGCACCGGTGTACCCCCAGCGCCTGCAGCCCCTCTATCGCCTTGTAGTCCTCCGAGCTCCACAGGTCTGGGGAGGGATGGGAAAGGGTGGAGATGGGCGCGGATGGGTGGGGATGGGTGGAGAGCACATATTACCTCAGACTGAGCTTGCACCGCTGCACCCCCAGTGCCTGCAGCCCCTCTATTGCTTTGTAGTCCTCCGAGCTCCACAAGTCTGGGCAGGGGTGGAGAGGGGTGGAGATAGGTGGGGATGGGTGGGGATGGGTGGACAGCACACGATTTGCTTCAGCTTGAGCTTGCACCGGTGCACGCCCAGCATCTGCAGCCCCTCGATCGCCCTGTAGTCCTCCACAGGTCTGATATTGCGGAGGGCACAGAGGTGGAAGAGGTGGAGAGGGGTGAAGAAGGGTGGGGAGGAGTGGGGAGGGGTGGGGAGGAGTGGGGAGGGATGCGAAGCACACTTTGCTTCAGCTTGAGCTTGAACGGCGCACTCCCAGCACCTGCAGCCCTTCTACAGCCTTGTAGTCCTCTGGAGACTGGACCCCACGGGTCTGATGCTGATGTTGCAGGAGAGCACAGAGGTGGAAAGCGGTGGGGACGGGTGAGGAGGGATGGGGAGGGGTGGTCATGGGTGGATTAGCACACGTCGTCTCAGCGTGCACTGGTGCAAATTTGACTAACCATGCTCTTGTGAGTCGACTCAAGACTCAAAAGTCAGCTCTTTTGAGTCGACTCAAGACTCAAAAGTCAGCTCTTTTGAGTCGACTCAAGACTCAAAAGTCAGCTCTTTTGAGTCGACTCAAGACTCAAAAGTCAGCTCTTTTGAGTCGACTCGACTCAAAAGTCAGCTCTTTTGAGTCGACTCAAGACTCAAAAGTCAGCTCTTTTGAGTCGACTCAAGACTCAAAAGTCAGCTCTTTTGAGTCGACTCAAGACTCAAAAGTCAGCTCATTTGAGTCGACTCAAGACTCAAAAGTCAGCTCTTTTGAGTCGACTCAAGACTCAAAAGTCAGCTCTTTTGAGTCGACTCAAGACTCAAAAGTCAGCTCTTTTGAGTCGACTCAAGACTCAAAAGTCAGCTCTTTTGAGTCGACTCAAGACTCAAAAGTCAGCTCTTTTGAGTCGACTCAAGACTCAAAAGTCAGCTCTTTTGAGTCGACTCAGAAAATTGACTCACCATGCAGCAGCAGCAGCAGTGTGGCAGCAGTGTGGCAGCAGTGTGGCAGCAGTGTGGCAGCAGTGTGGCAGCAGTGTGGCAGCAGTGTGGCAGCAGTGTGGCAGCAGTGTGGCAGCAGTGTGGCAGCAGTGTGGCAGCAGTGTGGCAGCAGTGTGGCAGCAGTGTGGCAGCAGTGTGGCAGCAGTGTGGCAGCAGTGTGGCAGCAGTGTGGCAGCAGTGTGGCAGCAGTGTGGCAGCAGTGTGGCAGCAGTGTGGCAGCAGTGTGGCAGCAGTGTGGCAGCAGTGTGGCAGCAGTGTGGCAGCAGTGTGGCAGCAGTGTGGCAGCAGTGTGGCAGCAGTGTGGCAGCAGTGCAGCAGCAGTGTGGCAGCCACAGCAGCGGCAGCAGAGAAGCAGAGGGTATAAATAAACCAGCTCACCTTTGTTCCCGTTGCTCTAAAGAAGTAACCTCAGAGCAGCAGAAGTAACCTCAGAGCAGCAGAAGTAACCTCAGAGCAGCAGCAGTAACCTCAGAGCAGCAGAAGTAACCTCAGAGCAGCAGAAGTAACCTCAGAGCAGCAGAAGTAACCTCAGAGCAGCAGAAGTAACCTCAGAGCAGCAGAAGTAACCTCAGAGCAGCAGCAGTAACCTCAGAGCAGCAGAAGTAACCTCAGAGCAGCAGAAGTAACCTCAGAGCAGCAGAAGTAACCTCAGAGCAGCAGAAGTAACCTCAGAGCAGCAGAAGTAACCTCAGAGCAGCAGAAGTAACCTCAGAGCAGCAGAAGTAACCTCAGAGCAGCAGAAGTAACCTCAGAGCAGCAGAAGTAACCTCAGAGCAGCAGAAGTAACCTCAGAGCAGCAGCAGTAACCTCAGAGCAGCAGAAGTAACCTCAGAGCAGCAGAAGTAACCTCAGAGCAGCAGAAGTAACCTCAGAGCAGCAGAAGTAACCTCAGAGCAGCAGAAGTAACCTCAGAGCAGCAGAAGTAACCTCAGAGCAGCAGAAGTAACCTCAGAGCAGCAGAAGTAACCTCAGAGCAGCAGAAGTAACCTCAGAGCAGCAGAAGTAACCTCAGAGCAGCAGAAGTAACCTCAGAGCAGCAGCAGTAACCTCAGAGCAGCAGAAGTAACCTCAGAGCAGCAGAAGTAACCTCAGAGCAGCAGAAGTAACCTCAGAGCAGCAGAAGTAACCTCAGAGCAGCAGAAGTAACCTCAGAGCAGCAGAAGTAACCTCAGAGCAGCAGAAGTAACCTCAGAGCAGCAGAAGTAACCTCAGAGCAGCAGAAGTAACCTCAGAGCAGCAGAAGTAACCTCAGAGCAGCAGAGGATATAAAACGGCTCACCTTTGTTTCTGTTCCTTAGTAGCAGCACCAGCCACACGAGTAGCAGAGCAATGAGAGGGAGCGCCACACGAGTAGCAGAGCAATGAGAGGGAGCGCCACACGAGTAGCAGAGCAATGAGAGGGAGCGCCACACGAGTAGCAGAGCAATGAGAGGGAGCGCCACACGAGTAGCAGAGCAATGAGAGGGAGCGCCACACGAGTAGCAGAGCAATGAGAGGGAGCGCCACACGAGTAGCAGAGCAATGAGAGGGAGCGCCACACGAGTAGCAGAGCAATGAGAGGGAGCGCCACACGAGTAGCAGAGCAATGAGAGGGAGCGCCACACGAGTAGCAGAGCAATGAGAGGGAGCGCCACACGAGTAGCAGAGCAATGAGAGGGAGCGCCACACGAGTAGCAGAGCAATGAGAGGGAGCGCCACACGAGTAGCAGAGCAATGAGAGGGAGCGCCACACGAGTAGCAGAGCAATGAGAGGGAGCGCCACACGAGTAGCAGAGCAATGAGAGGGAGCGCCACACGAGTAGCAGAGCAATGAGAGGGAGCGCCACACGAGTAGCAGAGCAATGAGAGGGAGCGCCACACGAGTAGCAGAGCAATGAGAGGGAGCGCCACACGAGTAGCAGAGCAATGAGAGGGAGCGCCACACGAGTAGCAGAGCAATGAGAGGGAGCGCCACACGAGTAGCAGAGCAATGAGAGGGAGCGCCACACGAGTAGCAGAGCAATGAGAGGGAGCGCCACACGAGTAGCAGAGCAATGAGAGGGAGCGCCACACGAGTAGCAGAGCCATGAGAGGGAGCGCCACACGAGTAGCAGAGCAATGAGAGGGAGCGCCACACGAGTAGCAGAGCAATGAGAGGGAGCGCCACACGAGTAGCAGAGCAATGAGAGGGAGCGCCACACGAGTAGCAGAGCAATGAGAGGGAGCGCCACACGAGTAGCAGAGCAATGAGAGGGAGCGCCACACGAGTAGCAGAGCAATGAGAGGGAGCGCCACACGAGTAGCAGAGCAATGAGAGGGAGCGCCACACGAGTAGCAGAGCAATGAGAGGGAGCGCCACACGAGTAGCAGAGCAATGAGAGGGAGCGCCACACGAGTAGCAGAGCAATGAGAGGGAGCGCCACACGAGTAGCAGAGCAATGAGAGGGAGCGCCACACGAGTAGCAGAGCAATGAGAGGGAGCGCCACACGAGTAGCAGAGCAATGAGAGGGAGCGCCACACGAGTAGCAGAGCAATGAGAGGGAGCGCCACACGAGTAGCAGAGCCATGAGAGGGAGCGCCACACGAGTAGCAGAGCCATGAGAGGGAGCGCCACCACTCCCCCCCCCCCACCACGATGCCCACGATCGCAGCAGAAAAGCAGTGGACATAATCGATTGGAGTCACCTCTGTTTCTGTTCCTCAGCAGCAGCACCACCCACACAAGCAGCAGAGCCATGGGAGCAAGAGCAGCAGAGCGGCAGCTGAGGATATAAACCGGCTCACCTCTGTTTCTGTTCCGTAGCAGCAGCAGCCACACGAGCAGCAGAGCAATGAGAGCGAGGAGCACCACTCCCCCCACCACGATGCCCACAATCGCAGCAGTGGTCATGCCCCCTCCTCCAGTAGATGCAACTGGGGGGGTGGGTGGGGGAGCTGGGGGGTGGAAAAGGGGGTGGAAGAGGGGGAGAGGATCAGGGGGCGGACGGGGGGTTTTTGGGGTTGAGAGAGCAGAGCAATGAGAGCGAGCGCCACCACTCCCCCCACCACGATACCCACAATCGCAGCAGTGATCATGCCCCCAGTAGACGCCACATGGGGGGCGGGCGGGGAGCTGGGGGGAAGAAGGGGGTTGGGGGAGAGGGTAGAGCAATGAGAGCAGAGCAGTGAGAGCGAGCGCCACGATACTTACAATCGCGGCAGTGGTCATGCCATCACCCCTAGGAGACGCCACAGGGGGGGCGGGCGGGCGAGCTGGGGGTGCATGGGAGTGGGTGGGGCAATGGGTGGAAAGGGGAAGGCGGAATGGGGAGGAGAGGGAGGGTCCGTAAGAGGTGAGAAAGAAGAACAACGAGAGTGAAGGTCACCACTCTCCTCACCACAATACCCATTTCTTAGTCAACTAAAGTTTTCACAATACCCACGGTCGCAACAGTGGTCATGCCCCCCCCCCAGTAGACGCGACAGGGGGGTTGGGTGGGGGAGCTCGGGATGCATGGGTTGGTGAGACAGGTGAAAGGGGGAGCAGGGAGAACGAAGAGAGAGGGTTTATAAGTGGTGGATAAGAAGGGCAGTGAGAGCAAGGGCCACCAATCCCCACGCCACAATACCCACGATCGCAGCCGTGGTCATGCCCCCACCCCTAGGAGACGCGACAGGGGGGGCGGGCGGGGGAACTGGGGGTGTAGTGCAGATGGGTGGAACGGGGAAAGGAGAACAAGGAGCGGGGAGAAGAAGAGTGCGGGTCCGTAAGAGGTAAGAGAGCAGAGCAATAAGAGCGAGGGAAACCACTCTCCCCACCACAACGCCCACAATCACATCAGTGGTCATGTGCCTGCCCTGCCCCCCCTTGCTCATAGCCCCCACTGGTACCTCCCCTGTTCTGACCCTCCCCCGATCTCACCTGGCCTTGTGAGCAATGTTTGAGTATTCTAAAGAGCCATACTGCCCTGCCACGTAATTGGCTCACAGTCATACCTGGCCCATACATGGCCTCGACGATATAAGGCCCAAAGTGGGTCCCCAGCGGCCAGCAGCAGCACCTTGTGGGGTGAGGAACACTTTTCAGAAATGACGGCTCACAAGGGCCCACTGCCTCCCCCACATCTCACCTTCCCCATACAGACTTCCTCCAGGTCTCACCTCCCCCAGGTCTCACCTGGCCCATACATGGCCTCGACAGTGTAGGGCCCAAAGTCTGTCCCCAGCAGCACCTTGTGCCACACAAACGCCTCCCTTATCTCCTGCGCCTGCTGCCACTCGGAGCTGCTCGTGCTGCTGCTGCTGCTGCTGCTGCTAGCAGGGGCGGCAGTGGCAGTGCTGCTGTTGCTGCTAGTGCTGCTGCTGCTGCTGCTGCTGCTGCTGCTGCTGCTGCTGCTGCTGCTGCCGTAGCTGCTGCTGCTGTCGTAGCTGCTGCTGCTGTCGTAGCTGCTGCTGCTGTCGTAGCTGCTGCTGCTGTCGTAGCTGCTGCTGATCTTGCTGCTAGTGCTGCTGCTGCTGGCAAGCCTGCTGGTAGCAGCAGAGGAGGAGGAGGAGGAGGGAGGGGGGAAGAAGCGGATGGAGGTGCTGATGGTGGAAGGGGAGAGGATGGACCCGGTGACTGACACCATAGCGATCTGTTGTTGGGGTTGGGATGGGGGGAGTGGGGGAGAAAGGGAGAGGGGGAGAGGGGGAGAGGGGAAAGAGGAAGAAGGGAATGGATGATGGTGGAAGGGGAGCGGATGGACCCGGTGACTGACACCATGGCGATATGCCATAGGGGGTTTGAGATGGGGCATGAAGTGGCGGAGAGGGAAAGGGAGAGAGAGGAGGAAGGAAGGTAATGGATGAGTGTGGGAGGAGAGAGAATGGACCCCCTAGTGACACTATAGCAATCTGTTGCGGTTGGATTGGGTGAGGGGTGACGGGGGTGGGGAGGGGGGGAAGGTGGGGGAACGAAGAGGAAGCGGAGGAGGGAACGAAATAATGGTCAAATGCGAGAGGATAGACCCTGGTGACTGATACTACGGCGATTGGGTCAGCGAGGGGGGGGGGGGGGCGGCGGGGAGGGAAGAGGGTGAGAAGGAGGAACCCAACCCACCTGCCCCCACCAGACCTGCTGGTGCAACCTTATGGCTTGCATTCGGCTTGTTGCCCTTGTGTGTGCATGCGTATTTGCATACAATGGTATGAGAGCATGAAATAATATATATATTCTATGTTGTTGAATGTGAATATTGAGTCGTTCACGAATTTTCGCTGGTCACGTGTGACGCCGTGGTTTGCGGGACGTGTGCGTTTTCTATTTTGTCGTGTGTGCAAGTAAGCTTTTAAGAACTCAATGGAGAATTCATGGTAAATACCCAGAGCCATTGTTATAAGATTGAAATGATTTTGGAGCTCAACATAACGTTAAAAATGAAGATCGTGAAAATTGATACGTTAAAAAAGAAGATCGGGGGGGGGGGGGGGGGGGGGGGGCGGCGGGGAGGGAAGAGGGTGAGAAGGAGGAACCCAACCCACCTGCCCCCACCAGACCTGCTGGTGCAACCTTATGGCTTGCATTCGGCTTGTTGCCCTTGTGTGTGCATGCGTATTTGCATACAATGGTATGAGAGCATGAAATAATATATATATTCTATGTTGTTGAATGTGAATATTGAGTCGTTCACGAATTTTCGCTGGTCACGTGTGACGCCGTGGTTTGCAGGACGTGTGCGTTTTCTATTTTGTCGTGTGTGCAAGTAAGCTTTTAAGAACTCAATGGAGAATTCATGGTAAATACCCAGAGCCATTGTTATAAGATTGAAATGATTTCGGAGCTCACCATAACGTTAAAAATGAAGATCGTGAAAATTGTTACGTTGCATTATGTAGTGTAACATTTATTTTGGTATAGACCCTTGTGGTATGGAATTTCAAAACCATTCGTGGTTGGGGATGGAGTGGCACTGTTCCACATCTTCGGATCTCGAGCTCTTTCCAAATTTGTGCTTCAAGTCTTTAGTTGTTGTCATGCCGCCGTTCGTTCAGACTATCATCACATTGTTATTTCTTTATGGAATCGAGTGATTCAACTTGCTAATTGTAGGTGACGTTAGAACATCATCTGGATTTGTAACCGGTCCGCTATCAGCTTTTGAAGCAGCTCTGCATAAACTTGTTTGTGCACTCTATCTTTCGTTTATGTTAGATTTGTTACTATTATGACTATAACAAGACCCATTTACCTCCACCGGACACACCTGCTCCCAAACCCACCTGGCCCCACCAGGCCCACCTGTCCTCGCCAGACCCACCTGTCCCGTCGAAATGCCAATTCCGTTCTTCCCCAAGCTCTCCGCAATCCTCTCTACAAGCAGACTCGCGAGGTCGTCATTAAACACCGCGTACTGCGGCGCTGTCAGCTTCAGTTCCACCTCCAGCGGCGACACGCACACACACACGTTGGTGAGCGCTAGCAGCGGCGGGCTCAGCTTCAGCTCCCCCAAATGCACCTGTCCTGTCCCCACCACAGCCACCTGTCCTGTCCCCACCACACCCACCTCTCCCCACCACACCCACCTGTCCCGTCGAGATGCCAATCCCGTTCTTCCCCAAGCTCCCCGCGATCCTCTCTACAAGCAGACTCGCGAGCTCGTCATTAAACACCGCATACTGCGGAGCAGTAAGCTTCAATTCCACCTCCAGCGGCGAAGCACACACACACACGTTGGTCAGCGCGAGCAGCGGCGGGCTGGGCGCGTAGAGAGAGGGGCAGGCGAGGTCGTCGCAAATGGGAGGGGGCTGATACTGCATGATGCCGAGTGGAGGCGAGCAAGCGGCAGTGACTGCAGGGCGGTAGGGCACACAGAGGTCGTTGCCGTATAGCCTGGAGGGATGGGGGTGAATGCAACAAGGGGGATTGGAACAAAGGGATGCAGCACAAGGAAGGATGGGAGAGGTCGTCGCAAATGGGAGCGGGCTGATACTGCATGATGCCGAGAGGGGGCGAGCAAGCGGCAGTGACTGCAGGGCGGTAGGGCACACAGAGGTCGTTGCCGTATAGCCTGGAGGGATGGGGGTGAATGCAACAAGGGGGATTGGAACAAAGGGATGCAGCACAAGGAAGGATGGGAGAGGTCGTCGCAGATGGGAGCGGGCTGATACTGCATGATGCCGAGAGGGGGCGAGCAGGCTGTGGTGACCTGAGGGCGGTACGGCACACAGAGGTCGTTGCCGTATAGCCTGGAGAAATAGGGGTGGAAAGAGCAAAGGGGGGCAGTAGAAGGAGGGTAAGAATGGTCGTCACAGATGGGAGGGGGCTGGTACTGCATGATGCCGAGAGGGGGCGAGCAGGCAGCGGTGCCTAGTGGGCGATGCGGCACACAGAGGTCGTTGCCGTAGAGCTTGGAGAAATAGGGGTGGAAGGAGAAAGGGAGACACACTGGTGACCAAGTGAGTGCGACAGCAGTCAGAGAGGATTACTCACTGCAGAGTGACGTTTTCGTTGCTCAGCAGAGCAGCAGGGGCGCGGGTGAAGTGGTTCACATAGAGGGAGCAACCGAGGGAGCAGGTGCTTGCGTGAATGAAAAGGTGAGAACCTGCGGGTTTGTGTCAAAACTCACTGCAGTGTGACGTTCTCGTTGCTGAGCAGAGCAGCAGGCGCGCGGGTGAAGTGGTTATCAAAGAGTGAGATGGTGGCGATGGCAGGGAGCGCGTCTAGAGGAGGCACGGGGCCTGTTAGTTTGTTGTCTGATAGAATACTGGGAGAGGGGTGGACGAGTGAGAGGTGAAGGGTTGGGGAGAGAGAGCAGCAGGAAAGGGAGTGGGTGAAATGGTTATCAAAGAGTGAGACGGTGGCGATGGCAGGGAGGGCGTCTAGAGGAGGCACAGGGCCCGTCAGGTTGTTGTCTGATAGGATACTGGGAGGGGAGGGAGAAGAGAGGGTGAAGTGGTTATCAAAGAGGGAGATGGTGGCGATGGCAGAGAGCGCATCCAGAGGAGGCACGGGGCCTGTGAGTTTGTTGTCTGATAGAATACTGGGAGCACGAAGAGAAGGGATAAGGGTGGGGGAAAGGGGGCAGCAAGAAAGGGAGCATCAACGTGCGCCGGGTGAAATGGTTATCAAAGAGTGAGATGATGGCGATGGCAGGGAGAGCGTCTAGAGGAGGCACAGGGCTCGTCAGGTTGGAATGAGGAGGGGAGGCTGAGCAAGGGAGAGGGGAGGTTGGGGTGGGTGTAAGGGAAAGGGGGATATTCACACAGGCGCCATCAGGTTGCCGATAGGATATGGAGAGGGAGGAAAGGGGGGGGGAGTCGCTTCTGTGATGTTCCATTACACTCAGACTAGTAGATTGCTGGAGGTGAGAGTGGTATGAGAGAGAGGGGGTGGGAAAGGGGGAGGGGAGGGTGGGTTGGAGGTGAGAATGGCTCCTTCCTTGCGGGATCACTGAGCATGCGAGTGGTGTGCGCCGTGCAGGTGTGGCAAGAAGGAGAGGGCGTTGACTTGACTTACATGGAGTGGAGTCGTGTGAGGTTGGCTGAGGGCAGCCCGGGAGGGAGGTTGCCGTTGAGATGGTTCAAGGCGAGATTGCTGCGACGCACGCAGAGGTGCATGTGCGGGAGTGGATGGGAGGGGTGGAAAGGGGAGGGGAGGGGAGGGTAGGGGAGGGGAGGAGAGGGTAAGGGAGGGGAGGGGGGGTAGGGGAGGGGAGGGGAGGGGAGGGGAGGGAGAAGAAGGGAACGGAGGGGAGTGGAAGAGTTTACGGGATGGGGAAAAGTTCACATATGCAGGAGGAATGTATTGGCAAGCGTAGCGTGTGGGGAAGAGAGGGGAGCAGAGGGGAGTGGAGGGAATGACGTGGTGGGATGGGGACGTCTTGACATGAGCAGCATTGCAGAGGCATGGGGCATGGGGCATGGTGGCATGGTGGCATGGTGGCATGGTGGCATGGTGGCATGGTGGCATGGTGGCATGGTGGCATGGTGGCATGGTGGCATGGTGGCATGGTGGCATGGTGGCATGGTGGCATGGTGGCATGGTGGCAAGGTGGCATGGTGGCATGGTGGCATGGTGGCATGGTGGCATGGTGGCATGGTGGCATGGTGGCAAGGTGGCATGGTGGCATGGTGGCATGGTGGCATGGTGGCATGGTGGCATGGTGGCATGGTGGCATGGTGGCATGGTGACATGGTGAGAATAGGAGATTTGATCAGGGCTATGCTTGGGAAACGCATGGATCCTGCAGGCAGGAACACACAAGGGCTGATGGTTGGTTTGGCATGATAGGGAGTGAAAACACAAGGGGCTGGTTGGGCTCACTCACTCTTACCACCAGCTGAAGTCCTGAATGCATTTGAAGAGGGCTCACCAGTTGAAGAGGGCTCACCAGTTGCTGCTAAAAGAAGTGATCTATACACTCACAGGGTCAGCTTTGAGACGACTCAAAGGCTGAGATCATGAACGCACTCACCAGCTGCTGCTAAAAAGAGTGATCTACATACTCACAGAGTTACTAGCTCAGGGTGGGTGGTAAAGAGGGCAGGGGGCAGGGGACCTTGAAAGTTGTTGCGACTCAAATCGCTGAGAGGGAGGGATGGGTAAGGGGAGAGAGGGTAAGAGGAAGAGGGGATGGGTAAGAGGGCTCGGGACAGGAGGCGGCGAGGGGTTTGGGAGAAAGAGAAAAACGTGGGGGAACGAAAGTGGAGAGATTGCAGACGATTGCTGAGGGAGGGGAAGTGCGGGGAGGGAGAAGAGGAGGAGGAGAGAAAGGAGGAGGGGGAGGAGGAGGAGGAGGAGGAGGAGGAGGAGGAGGAGGAGGAGGAGGAGGAGGAGGAGGAGGAGGAGGAGGTGAAGGAGGAGGAGAAGGAGGAGGAGAAGGAGGTCTGGATAAAGGAAGGAGCGGAAAGTAGTAAAGGACGACATACAGAGATTAAGGGATGATGGACAGAGGTCAACGGACAACATACAGGTAGCAGAGTGCTGGAAGGTCCGTCAAGGGCGGCAGTGACTGGGGCGGCATGGAGCAGTTGTGCATGGAGCTGCATCCATGCAGAGAGGGGAGGTGGAGGGAGGGAGGGAAGGTAGTGGTTGCTGAGTTAGGGAAAGTAGTGACTGGGGAGCCATATGGCAGTTGTGCATGGAACTGTGTGGTTGCAGAGAGAGGGTGAAAAGTATAGATGGATAACGGGAGAAAGTATGAAATAAAAAGGGATGGCATGGTGATCAACAAGCGGCAGTGGGAGGAACACATGGCATGCAGTGATTGGAGCACTCACAGGTCTTGCAGTGGTAAGAGGCAGGGAGGAGGACAAGACACGTGGTGCTCAGTGATTGGAGCACTCACAGGTCTTGCAGCGCTGGGAGGTTGAGGGAAGGAGAAAGCCGGCCCTGAATGGTGTTGTTGCTCAGATGGCTGCCACGTGGCACACAGTGATTGGAGGGGGACAGCAGGAAATACAATAAGTTAGTATTGTCGAAATTGTACAGGACCACTCTGATTCGCCACTCTGAACCGTACAGCACTCTGACCGCCTCGCTTGGCCACTATTTACATGACACTGCCAGCGAGCTCGGCACATCTCCAACTGATAGCATCAATTTGGGGCGACAGAAGGCGTTGAATTCGTTTCTTTAGCACATACATGTATGTCCGACCGAGTCAGCATTTTGCTGGATCATACCATCACTTTAATTCATCACAATTCTCTGTCGCCCTCACATGATCTGCAGGCTGGTTGACCCACTGAGCCCCGCTGGAAAGGTCTGGTTGAGACGGTTGTTGTCCACCAGGCTGGTGGGTTGGGGGGGAAGAGGGGGAACGAGGAGTGCAGAGCGGTGAGAGGGATGTTGGGTGTTTAAACAGAAGTGAACCCCACTGGAAAGGTCTGGTTGAGACGATTGTTGTCCACCAGGCTGGGGGGTTGGAGGGGAAGGGGAAGGGGGAAGGGGGAGGAGGAAGAGAGGGGGTGACTCTTGAGTCGACTCACAAGGCTGGTGGAGCCACTGAGTTCCACAGGGAAAGGTCTGGTTGAGACGGTTGTTGTCCACCAGGCTGGTGGGTTGGAGGGGAAGAGGGGGAACGGGGAGTGCAGAGCGGTGAGAGGGGTGTTGGGGGCCTCAACGGAAGTGAGTCCCATAGGAAATGTCTGGTTAAAGCGGTTGTTGTCCACCAGGCTGGTGGGTTGGAGGGAGGGGAGAGGGGGATGAGAGGAAGGAGGAGGTGACTTTTGAGATTTCTCAAAAGGCTGGCGTGCGTGCGTGCGTGTGCGCGAGAGAGGAGGGAAGGGAACTGCGTGTGTGTGTGTGGACCCATGTTAGCTGGAAACGCAGCCAGAACTGGGATGGCTTACAGGTGGATGAGGTTTGGAAGCCGTCCCAGTTGCCCTGGGACATATGTCAGATGGTTGCGACTCAGGTGACTGGCGGCGGGGAAGGAGGTCAAAGGGGACAGGGAGGCAAAGAAGGGGCAAAGAAGGGGCAAAGAAGGGGCAAAGAAGGGGCGAAGAAGGGGCAAAGAAGGGGCAAAGAAGGGGCGAAGAAGGGGCAAAGAAGGGGCGAAGCAGGGGCGAAGGCAGATCACAGACAGGGGCAGAAAAGCGGCAACGGCAGAAACGGAATCAGGGAAAGCCTCGAAGGCAGAGAGAGGCAAGGAGCGGAAAGTAGAGGGGATTGGGACCTGCTTGGACGGGATGAGTGCGGGGCAAGTGAGTGCTAGGGCTAAACCAACAGACAGGAGGGGCACGCACAGGTGGCGGATGCTGGTACACGTGTCGAATCCTGGTTGGATGGGCACATGCCCTGTGATTCTGTTGTCTGTGATGTCAAAGAAATAGAGGTTGGTTAGATTCGCCACCTGCAGGTGAGGGGAAGGGGTAGGGGGGATGAGAGGAGGGCACATGCATTCAACACACAATAACTTCTGTAATATTGAATGTCTGGGATGTCAATGAACCAGAGGGCTGTTAGATTCGCCACCTGGGGAGGAGAGAGAAGCACGAGGGAGGAAATGGTGGAGTGGAGCAGATGGTTTAGTGCGGTGTAATATGGTACGTACCTGTCTGGGAATGCTGCCGGATAGCTGATTGCTGTTGACAGCAACTCAAAAGGCCGATAGTTGAAGGGATGGGTGGGGTACAATGCGGTGCGGAGAGGTACCCACCTGTCTGGGAATGCTGCCGGATAGCTGGTTGCTGTTGACAGCGAAAAAGTTGTGCTTCCTCAAGAGGCCGATGGTTGAAGGGATGGGTGCGGTTCAGTGCGGTGCAGTGAGATAGTCACCTGTTTCGGTATGCTCCCAGAGAGCTAATTGCTGTTGACAGCAAAGAAGTTGAGCTTCCTCAAGAGTCCAATGGTTGACGGGATGGGTGTAGTGCAGAGCGTGCGGTGCAGTGCGGTGAAGTACGCTACGTACCTGTCTGGGAATGCTGCCGGATAGCTGGTTGCTGTTAACAGCAAAGAAGTCGAGCTTCCTCAAGAGGCAGATGGTAGCCGGGATAGAGATGTGCACGGTTCAGTGCGGTTCAGTGCAGTGCGGTGAGTATTCACCTGTCTGGGAATGCTGCCTGAGAGCTGGTTGCTGTTAACAGCAAAGAAGTTGAGCTTGCTCAAGAGGCCGATGGTTGAAGGGATGGAGCCCGAAAGGTTGCATCCGTGCATGTCCCTGGTGGGAGGCGATTCAGTGCGGTGGGGTGGGGTGGAGAGGGACAGTGGGATTGGGGGGGGGGGGGGGGGCTGGGGAGTCTGTGTACATGCTTGTCCCTGGTGGACTCATTCCAGTGCATTGAAGTGCGGTAAAGTGCGGTAGAGAACGGTAGAGAGCAGCGAGAGGGGTTAACAGTGTACTGTAGATGTGATTCGTTACAGGATACAATAACTCACAGCATGGAGAGGTCGGAAAGGGAGCTGATGGTGCTGTAGATGCTGCCTGTGAGGGCTGGGTTGAGCGATATGTCCCTGAGAGGGGGGAGAGGGTGAGTGGAGGAGTGGAGAGAGGTTGGATGGGGTAAGGGGGCGAGAGGACCTCTGAGGCGCTTCAGTTCAGATGCCGGGAAAGGGCGCTGATGGTGCTGTAGATGCTGCCTGGGAGGGCTGGGAGGGGGGAGAGCGAAGGGGAGCGAGGGTAAAAGGGGTGTGGGGAGAGACGTTGGAGGGCTTAAGGGGGAGAGGCGAGGGGACGTCTGAGGCGCTGACGGTACTGTAGATGCTGCCTGGGAGGGCTGGGTTGAGCGATATGTCCCTGGGAGGGGGGAGAGGGGAGCGAGGGTAAAAGGGGTGTGGGGAGAGGCGTTGGAGGGCGTAAGGGGGCGAAGCGAGGGGACGTCTGAGGTGCTGACGGTGCCTGTGAGGCCCTCATAGATGCTGTAGATGCTGCCTGGGAGGGCTGGGTTGAGAGATATGTCCCTGGGAGGGGAGAAAGAGGGAGAGCGGTTAAGAGAGATTGGAGGGGGGAAACGGTCGAGGGGACGTCTGGGGCGCATCGAAGAACGAGGGCTGGCGGTGCTGTAGATGCTGCCTGTGTGGGCTGGTGCTGTAGATGCTGCCTGTGTGGGCTGGGTTGAGAGATTTGTCCCTGGGAGAGGGAAGAAGGGAGAAAGGGAGGAGGTGAAGGGATGAGGGGTGAGGAGACGCTTGAAGGGCAGGGTTGAGAGGAATATCCCTGGGAGGGGGGAGAGGTGGAGGGAATGGGAGAGGAGAGGTTGAAAGGGGAAGGATGGGGGTGAGTGAACGTTTGAGGCGGCTCCGAGGCTGGGAAAGGGACTTCTGATCCCTTGCGATGCTGTAGGTGGTGATGCCTGTGAGCGCTGGGTTGAGAGAAATCACCCCATAGGGGAAGGGGAACGAAAGAGGGTAAATGGCGTGAGGGAAGAAGAGAGATTGATTGGCGTGACGGGACGTGTGATGTGAGCGTGGAAAGGGAAGGTGGTGACCCATTGCGCGGCTGTAGATGCTGCCTGCCTGCGAGGGCTGGGTTGAAGCGTCCCATGAGGGTACGTGTGTTGTGTGCCATTGTGTTGTAACGAGGTGACTTCTGACTCGACTCAATAGATGCTGCCTGTGAGGGCTGGGTTGCACTTTCCTACGAGGGATGGCTCGACTCAAGAAAGTGCATGTTGCATACAACTGCAGCGACTCAGACTGTGAGTGTAAACGAGGCTCTTTATAAGGCGTACAGGCTTCTGAGCGTGGTGAGATTGAAGAGAGCTGGAGGAAGCTGCCCGGAAAGTCCCAGCCCTTGCAGTGTCCTGCCAAACACGAACGGTCGGGAATAAGAGCGATGAGACATCACTTCTGAGAGGAGTGAGTGAGGGCGTGGGATGAAATTTGAGTCGCCTCAAAAGTCATTTACAAGCACGAGCGGTGGGGGGTGAGAGCAACGAGAGTGACAGGAGTGTGTGAGGGCGTGGTACGAGAGTTGATAGCCGAAGGGTATGCGGGGAGGAGAAAGAGGGAGAAGGGGGGGTTGGGGGTGAGGGGGGTGAGTGAGAGGAACAAGGTCAAGCAAGGACGGGAATCGACGCAGGTCCTCGAGTTTCGCAAGGAGTTTAGGGAAATCTTCGGGTCGACACACAGAGATGAAACCACTAACAGAGATGAAACCATTAACAGATATCTAACCACTCACAGAGATGAGACCACTCACAGAGATGTAACCAGGTTATGTAACCACTCACAGAGATGTAACCACTCACAAGGATGTCACCTCTCACAGCGATTTAACCACTCACAAGGACGTAACCACATGGTTGCTGGAGCCGTCACTCTCACAGGTGACCCCGGGCCACCCCTTGCTGCTGGGATCAGCAGCAGCAGCAGGGGTCGTTTCCACTCACAGACACTCACCTTACTGTAACCAATCACAGCTCACAGCAATGCCATGAAACCACTCACAAGGATGTGACCACATGGTTGCCCGCGGCGTCACTCTCACAGGTGACCCCGGGCCACCCCTTGCTGCTGGGATCAGCAGCAGCAGGGGCAGCAGCGCAGGGGTCGCTTCCGGCCCAGGCATTGAAAAAGGGGTTGGAGGAGGCGAGGGTCGATGCTATGTTGTGAAGAGCGGCCACTGGGAGGGGGGAGAGGGGGAGAGAGGGGGATGGGGAGATGGGTATAGGGGAAGATGGGGAAGATGGGGAAGACGGGGAAGACGGGGAAGACGGGGAAGACGGGGAGATTGGAAGTCGGGGAGAGCGGGAAGAGGGGGCTAGGTGTCGAAGAGAGGAAGGAAAGTAAGGGGGAAGAGGAGGTGGAAGGTTGGTAAGGTTCAGGAAGAAGGAACAAGGATTCGGCATCATCCCAGCCGTTGGTCTACAAGCAGTTGAGGAACGGAGGAGCAGAGGGATGGAGTCATGATGGTGCTGCCGACGGCACTTGGGGGGGAGGAACGCAGAAGAAAGCGAGGAGGCCAAACGGGCGGAGTCAGAAGGGTGCGTCTCAGGCACGCGGTAGAAGGACGACGCGCACCGGGGTGAGGTGCAAGGGACGCGGTGCAAGGGACGTGGTGGAAGGGACATGGCGCCGCCATGGCGGGAAGGGACATGGCGGGAAGGGACATGGCGGGAAGGACGCTCTGCCTGGCCTGGCATATACTCGCGAACCACGATTGTGCGGAGGTGACCTTAGCGACATTCAATGCTCGTGGATGACCATTCTAGACTAAACAGTGGACGCTCTGCCTGGCCTGCATATACTCGCGAACGACGATCGTGCGACCTAGACTAACAGTATGCTCATGAGAAACTATGATATTCTTGGTCAAAATTCCCGATGAACACTGCAACGAATGCCATGGATGTCTAATTGTTAGTCGGTCGTTATCCCCAGAGGTTTCACCTTGAGTTGGGTCCGTCGCAGCTTTAACGGTGTCGCGCGTCCCGAGACTGAAAATAGTCGCGGCCAGTAAGACGAATTGAGCGGAACAGATTATGTTGCGTCGTCTTCGGGAATATTTTCGACGCGCAAGCGACACGACGCGGTCCATGATAGTGACGTTCTTGGCGGATGATATTTTGTAAATATTTCGGGGAAAAAATGCGGCGGCAAATGCGGAGCGTCTTTGGGGTGAGTCGTGACGCGTACGGATGAAGCTCACGAGGCGCTCTAGCTAGAAATACGGCGTGAAGGCAGCTAAGTAACGTGGTAATGCGCTTCGTACAATCATCGTAGAATCCTTGCTCCTCTCTAACGACACTGGAATACAATACAGCTGCGAGACTCAGACGCGGAAAAACTGGGACAGTGACGACCCCTTTTTTTTAAGTCCAATTCGGTCGAAAGGTCACTCGAACGGAGAATTAGGACCTTCTATGTAGCGTCTCTCTTAGAAAAAAACCCCAGCTTGAGCAAGAGTGGAGTTTTCTTTAGTTTACAAAAAGCGGGTCGCCTACAACAGCCTAAAACTGTCCGCTCCTCAAGGATCAGTGATGCTCTGTGTGGAGGGTGAGAGGGATGCAACACCCATCTCGAATGGTAATTCCGTAAAAGTTATCATGCGGTTGGGTGCGATTATACGCAAGGCGGAACTAGTTTAGGAGATCAAAAATCGGTTCAGTGGGGTTTTGAGTGGCTTCACTTGGAGCGTTATCGTGCCCAACGGGCAAACCGCCGGGAGCTCCAGACCAACGTCTCTGAAGCTTCTTGGTTCGTCAAGTTCTTGGTTTGGTTCGGGTTTCAGCAGGTCTCAACCAAGGGCTACGCAGGTTTGGTTTGATTCTCTCAGGTACCTTCAAAACCTCATGCCCTAGGCTCTTCCATACCTGAGCCCAAGAACACTCAGCCCTTGATCGAGAGGTTAGGGCACATCGAACCTACAATTCTCCTGGTTCGGGTGCCTTTGGCATTCTTGCCATCATTTGG